TTAAACTGCTATAGTGCCAGGAGCACAGAGACCACGTGTGGCTGGGACCATCAGCAGATTTTTGCATATTGTCAAGACCTCTTTTCTTTTTTTTTTTTTAAAGATTTTATTTATTTATTTGACAGAGACAGAGATAGCGAGAGCAGGAACACAAGCAGCAGGAGTGGGAGAGGGAGAAGCAGGCTTCCCCTCGAGGAGGGAGCCCGATGTGGGACTCTATCCCAGGACCCTGGGATCATGACCTGAGCCGAAGGCAGACGCTTAACGACTGAGCCACCCAGGCACCCAAGAACCTCTTTTCTGAACTTGCATCAGAACCCAAGGGGTGGGTGTTTAGATGTCTCAAGGTCATAGTCATCTGACAACACCAGGGTGAAGCCTCCCAGTAGATTTATGAAGATCAGCTGGTTCATCGTGAAACCAAAGGCTGCTAAGGCCCCACATGTTGCTTGGAGGTCACTTGTTTCCAAACTGTGATATTTCTACTACTACCCCCATTTTACAAATATTATTGATTAGGATGAACAGGCTTTTTTTTTTTTTTTTTTTTAAAGATTTTGTTTATTTATTCATAAGAGACAGAGAGAGAGAGGCAGGTTCCCCGCTGAGCGGGGAGCCTGATGCGGGACTCGATCACAGGACCCTGGGATCATGACTTGAGCTGAAGGCAGACGCTTAACCATCTGAGCCACCCAGGCACCCAAACTTTTTTCTTTTTTTAAGTGACTTGACTTTAAAGGAAAATAAGTAAATAGAAGAACGATCAGTGGTCTACAGCATGGCAAAATTTTTAATGTCAAATTTGGTAGGGTGCCTGGGTGGCTCAGTTGGTTAAGCAACTGCCTTCGGCTCAGGTCATGATCCTGGAGTCCCGGGATTGAGTCCCGCATCGGGCTCCCTGCTCGGCGGGGAGTCTGCTTCTCCCTCTGACCCTCCTCCCTCTCATGCTCTCTGTCTCTCATTCTCTCTCTCTCAAATAAATAAATAAAATCTTTAAAAAAAAAAATTTGGTAACCACTGGGACTATCGATGAAGGGGCTTCTCAGGAGGCAATGTAACTGAAAATATTTCCAATCCCACCTACAGCTCTCATTTCTCCTTTCTTGGAATCTTCTAGGTGCTTGAAATCACTCCTCTTCTTTGTTTCCAAAGTCCTTCTGTATGTATCCAAAATTGTCCTTATTCCATTTCATCTCAGTAGTTTATCTTCTAGTTTGCTTTCCTTGCCAGTGGCAAGTTCTCCCGGAAAATTTCTGTTGTATTCGCTGTAGTGCTTGGCCCATAGGTAAACTCTGAAGAAGAAAGAATAAACAGGAGAATAAGCACACTGTCTTCAGCTGTTTCCTGATGATTAGAAAGCTGTGTGGCCAGGAAAGGGTTGAAAACTCCAGATCCAGTACTATTCAGAAGGCCAGTTTGATTATTCAGGCAAAAGCAATCCATATATGTGTATATATATATATATATATATATATTTTTTTTTTTAAAGATTTTATTTATTTATTTGAGAGAGAGAATGAGAGAGAGCAAGCACATGAGAGGGGGGAGGGTCAGAGGGAGGAGCAGACTCCCTGCCGAGCAGGGAGCCCGATGCGGGACTCGATACAGGGACTCCAGGATCATGACCTGAGCCGAAGGCAGTCGCTTAACCAACTGAGCCACCCAGGTGCCCTATATATATATTTTTTAAGATTTTATTTATTTATTTGACAGACAGCGAGAGAGGGAACACAAGCAGGGGGAGTGGGAGAGGGAGAGGGAGAGGGAGAAGCAGGCTTCCTGCTGAGCAGGGAGCCTGATGTGGGGCTCTGTCCCAGGACCCTGGGATCATGACCTGAGCCAAAGGCAGACACTTAACAACTGAGCCACCAGGCACCCCAAAAGCAATCTATATTTTATGACAAAGATAAGTTTGTGACTTTCCTGAATAGTTGATTTCTATTTACAAGAACTCTGACCGAGCAGCTTTATCCACACAATATAGGTGCCAACAGAAGAGTGAGACTCTGTGGTTCTTTTGCATTTTCCCGTTCAGCTGATCCCGAGTGGATCTGGAAGTCAGAATTTGACATATTCCTATCCCTCTCAAACTCACCCACTGTTCCATTTGGATTTGCATTCTTGCCTTCAGCCAGCAAGATTTTCCCACTTACCTATTGATATTTAATAGTCTGCTCTTTCTTGAATCCAACCCATTTCTCTAGAGGACTGCTGTTGTTAATGCAGTTAATTGAAAGGAATGAAGCTATAACGGTGGAATTATAGGAAGCTATAATGGTGTAATGGAAAAACCCCCTTAAGTCTTAATCACTTAGCCAACTGCCTGCTTTGCTTTCTTACAATACAATTTAAGTTCACTCTGGCAGCCAAACAGGACAATTGCAGCCAAGTTCTGCTGGCTAGCCTGAGCTAGCCAGAAATTAAGTGCATAGACTCTGAGTCAGACTGCTAGGTTCAAATCCCACATCTTCTACTTCTTCGTTGTGTGACCTTAGGCAATTTATAAAACCTCTTCTAACCTGGTGACTTTATCTATAAAACAGGGCTATGTATGTTCTCTACCTCATCCGGATGTTGTGTTTGATGAAATAATCCATGTAAAGCACTTAGCACAGGACCTGGCCCTCAGTTGGATCCAGTAAATCTAGCCATTATCATTCCATTCTCCCATTGGAATGTCCTAATTTCCTCAGAGAGGCACAGATACTTGAAATACAACCATTTATTTTGTAGGCAGGATGTATTACCATGTAGCAGAGAAAGTAGATAGGCTTTCACTTGCTGAATGACCATGCAGAACCCACTTAGTCTCTCTGGGTCTGTTTCAGATCTGTAAAATGAGAGGGAACAGGCAGGATTTTCCAGAGTTGCAAACTCAAATGTCTATAGAGGCCAATTAGGTAAAATGAGGCAATCACTGGGGACTTGGGCTGGGTATAAGATCACGGGGGGGGGGGGGTTATGGCTAACTGTAGACCTTTCCTATTCAACGTGTGGGCCACTGACCAGCAGGATTGACAGAACCTTGGTGTTTGTTAGAAACAGCAGAATCTCAGGACCCACCTAGTGAAACAGAATCTGCATTTTAACCAGATCCCTAGGTGGTCTCTATGCACATAAAAGTTTGAGAAGGCTGCTGTGGAGCACAGACCATCTAAAGGCATTCAGCTTTAGTTTTGTTTTGCTTTAATGTTAGCTACAGAAACTCTGGGCTACAACAGGCCTCAGGCTACCAGTAAGTGGCAAGTGACCATTGTAGTTGGTGAGCTCTGATGTGCTGCCAGCTCTAGGATTCTCTCTGAGAAATACCCTATCATTATAAGTTAGGGCTCTGGGCATGTGGATAGAGAGCCAAGACTAAGCCTGGGTTGCTTAGGACAATAATTCCTGGAGTGGAAGATTCCTAAAAAGTCATCTGCTCAGCTCCCTGCCTTCTGACGGGCAAACTGATTGTCCCCACTCTGCAGATGAGGAAAGTGAGGCCCAGGGAGACCCACTGACCCAAATCCACACACCAGGAAGTGGTGGTGGTGGTGAGTATATGGCATCATATAGGAACAAGACAGGTCTGTGCTGTTAAAATCTGCGACCATTCTGGTTTCCAAGGCTTCGAAAGTCTATTAATTTCTGTACATTCTCCCATGCGTAGTAATTGTTCTTCGTTTCTCCCAGCACCTCCCTGCCACTTCCTGGCAGCCCTGGGGACAGAAGGTTTCCTCCTTTTTGGCGGAGAAGGCCCAGAGCCGGCTTCTGAACGGATATCCGGCCCGCAGGATGCAGAGGAGGCAAAGGCCTCATTGTTCCTTGGGGCCAGCCACCCCTCCCCCAGGTCGTAGGACTCGCAGACCACGGGTGACCGAGGGCCCATTTCCCAGGAGTGGGACCTTCAAAGAAAGCAAGGAAGAGAGGCAGAGAGTAGGTCTGAAATGTCATGTTCTGAGCATACTGCGGAAAGGCGCTCAGAGCCCCAAGATAAATAAATCCGTAATTTGAAAACGTATTTCCAACCCGGGCTCCGCGCGGTTACTCATTACCGCTCTCCACAGCCGACTCGGGCGATTCCGTGTACCTTCTTATAAATCGGAATGTTTGACTGTAATGAGGGTCGTGAATTTACGGGCTCCGCTTGCCGGAAGGCACTTTATTAGCAGAACGAGCCGCTTCCCAAGCCCAGATCCCCCGAGTGCCCGCCAGGCGCGCGGGGGCGGGCCCGAGCCCTGGGGGGCGCGGTCCGCGTGGACTCGCCACCGCGCAGCCACCCCGCGGCCACCAGGGGGCGCTCGGACCGTGCGGCCACCAACGCGGCCACCAGCTCCAGGTCGCCGCCGACTCGCAGACCCCTTCGCGCCCTCGGAGGAAACAAAGTACACCTTTGTCAGCGTCCCGGCGCGTGTGCGTGTGAGACGGCGCACACTGGCCCGCCTCAGCGTGTGCAGCCTGCCGGGCTGACCTTCCTCCCACTCGAGCACGCCCCGAGGGGCGGCCAGGACCCGCACCGGCTCCTGCCGGAACGCGGCGCTTCGCCCGCCGCCGCCGTGGCCTGTGGATTTCGCTTTCCCAGCTCTCGGCAAGGCGGGAAACGGGCCAGAGGGGGCCCGGACCCGGGACTGGGGGCTCCGGCTCGGCCGGGCCGCCTTTGATTCACCCGCTGCCCATCGCAGACCGGCGCCCCTAGGCTCCCCGGGCCGCGCCCGCCTTCAGTCTGGGTGCGAGTCCCGGGGCAGGTTTCCGACTCAGGCAGCCCGCGCGCCTCTCCGGCTCCCGCGCGGCGCGCCCGCAGGACTACAAGTTCCAGCAGGCCCCGCGCCAGGAGCGCCGAGGCAGGAGGCGCGGCCCGCTTGGCGCCTGCGCAGTGCGACCACCCGAGCCTGCTAGTACCACACCCCCGGGAGGGACGGAGGGGAGGCAGAAGCATCCGAGGCATTAAAGCATCCGAGGGAGCCGGAGGGGTGGAGAATGGAGTGACAGAGAAACGCGGAGGGTGGGGGGTGGGGGGGAGACTGTTGAGGGAGGGGGGAGGGGGGACACAGAGGGAGGAAGAAGCGGCGGCGGCGGCTCCTCTTTGCAGAGGGGGAAAACTCCGAGGGATAAGAGCAGGAATCATGCGGTAGGCAAGGCGGGCTGCTCGCTCCCGGCTCCCGGCTCCGGCAGCAGCAGCGGCAGCACCCCCAGCAGCTGACAGCCCCGCCGGCAGGCTCCCTCGCTGACCGCCGACTGTCAATGGAGCTGGAAAACATCGTGGCCAACACGGTCTTGCTGAAAGCCAGGGAAGGTAAGAGGCAGGGCGGGCGCGTGCCTGGCGTGTTCGCCGCGGGCCGGGGTGCGGGTGTCGGGCGGCGTGTAGGCTGGGGCTGTGCGGGTGCAGGATGCCCGCAGTGAGTTGGTCGCGAGCAGGACACCTCGGAGAGCTGCTCTGCAGACGCTTCAGGGGTCCTGCCCTTGGGCTCAGAGCGTCTGGACTTGGGTAGAGAAGGAGAAACGTCGAGGTTGCAGGGATTAGGATGCTAAAATCTCTCTTAGTTTCCGGCTCTAATCTTACAGACCGTGCCATCTCGGCAGCTGTTGAAAGGTCAGTTGGAAAAGCATTCATTCAGGAAGAGATGGGCAAACATGCAAACAAAATAGCTTTTCGGGTCGGCCCGGGATGGTTCTGTGAGTGTGAATTGGTGTGTGTGTTGGGGCGGGTGTGTGTGTGGGGTGTGTGTGTGTGTGTGGGGGGGGGTGGAATTAGCAGAAGCCAAGTCTTTGCTTGCGCAGGCTGAGTTGATATAGGCTATTGCTGGAAACCATCCGCTGGGAATGTTTCTTAGGGAAATCCCGTCGTGTGGAAGGAAGCCTTTTAAAGGCAAAGTAAGATGTTAAGGAATTAGCCCGTTCATAGAATTACGGGAGATATGGCTGTACAAATCACCTAGAGAATAATTCAGAATTTCAGAGTTGGGTTTTTTCCCTTTGGTGATGGGAGGAAGAGATAACTGAATTGTCTGATCTGGGTTCAGTTAAGAAAAGAAAGGTAAGTGTGCTGGGTGCTTACATGCGTTTTGGGTGCAAATTATTAGATTTCCTGCATTTAGCTGGCAGGAAATATCGTCAAAACGAAGTGGGTAGGAGCCTAAGTCAAAGCTGTAAACACACATTTTGACTCTTCCTTGAGATGAAAAAAGAGAGAGAAAGAAAGAAAAAGAAAAAAGAAAAAGTGGCCCAGAAACTTAAATGCCTCCTAAAATGATTGCGTGCAAACATACATATTTAGGAACACCTGGAATTTATGTAACATCTCTTTTGCCAAGATTTGAGCTCTGGCTTGCAGCCGTTTTACAAAAAGGGGAAGTGGTTTTTCCCTTTCATGGGAGGAGGCTTTGACACCCAAGGTAGAAGGCAGCCTAAGTAAGGTCTTGACTTCAGAGGGCTACTCAGGGAGCAGTCCACGAAAATGCCTTGCCTACTTAATATTTTCATTCACCCACGTTGATGAATGAAGGAAGAATTTTTGGCTAGCAATAAAACGATTCATGTTTAGCCAGCTAATTCCATCACCTTGTGGCTCTGTACACGCTCTGCGGGTTGGTGATGCACAGCCTAGTAACTCAACCCAGCGTTCACGTCTAATTTCGTCGTCACTTGTCGCTCTAAAGCAGCCGCTTGGAAGGTTTGCTTTGAAAACCCCAGCAGAGTTTAAAATATGCAGGTCCGTACCCCCTCCCTTGCTCAGCTTCGGTGTGAACAGATTTGTAGGAGTGGCTGTTACTTGGGGACTTCAGGTTTCTAAGGTTTCTAAGCTTCTTTCTTTCTACCTAACCTGCCATTTTAGCGAACTGGATCAAGGTGGGGACGAGTGGGCTCTCTCCCGGACTGGGCTGTGCGTCCAGGAGGGAAAGACGCGGAGGAAACAGCCCACCCCCTCAAGATCACAGCCTTTTCAACCGCCACCTAGTGGTGGGACATGGTTGTACATCTTAGGGCTTGGGGGCTGGGAAAGTTTTCCACCCTCCCTCCATTCTGAAATTATTTCTTGGGAAATCACTGGATATGATGGTGCTGGAGGCTTTGCAGTTTCACTGGTTACTCCTCTAAGGAGGAATTCTGTTCCTTAGATTCGCTGCTCTACACGTTCGTTCGCCTGGGGCATGCGTTTTTCTTCCCTCAGCTTTTGGTTGCTTCTTTTAAAATGTTTTGCTTGGAGTTGGCAAAGTGTTATCAATTTTCTCTCCCAAATTGGTCTCTCTAGGTTTTTTTTGTTTTTTTTTTCACCGCCTGATATTTTTGTTTGGCAGGTTAACAAATTGTTTTTTTCAGACTTTAGGGACAGAACTGCAGGCTGGAAGCTCCTATGGAATGACCGAATTACAGTGATTAAAAGTGCTGGAGAATGTGCCTTTCACTTCCTTTACCTTTGAAAGTCTTTTCAATTTCTCTTGGAGAGTTTAGGAGTCGTCTCCTAGTGAGAAAATAGCTCTGGACGATGCCTTTGAAATGGAGAGGGCCTTGTCTGTAAGGAAAGGGAGAGATTGACACATGAATGAGAAAAATTAATCACTGACATGGAAACTTCATTTTTTAAATTTGTGTTTCTCCCCGTCTTCCTTTCTTATGTTTAAAGAGAATTCCTGATTTTATGTGCTTCCACTTTCTTCTTATTGGGTCTTTATTAAAGATTTGAGCACCTATATTCTAATTAGTGTGGAAGGTTTTAGAAGTAAAAGCAATTTATTTTTCTCTTCTCAGCTGTCATATTCTTAAAGTCATTCTTTTAAATTAAGGAATTCCCCCCCCAAATCATATTATCCAGATATTCGGAAATGAAAATTTCAGTCAGTTTAGTGAAACATCTAATATAAAATTTATAGTATCCTTAATAATCTGAGTTGTTTAGAATGTTTACAAGCACTTCTTACTTGAAATCTCTTATGAAAGGTCACAGATGAGAAATAATGGGCGTATGTGAAATTTAATTTACTTCACTTAACAAAATACACTGTAAACAATTTAAAATGTGGCTTTCAAGTAAAAGTCACATTTGTCCCAAACAATAGAGAAACAGGCCTTGAAGAAAGACAGACGCACTTTGCAAATGCTGTAAAGGAAATTGTACTTGTCCATGTTGGTGGGTAATTCTGGGGCCTATCTTTCATTATTGTTATGCATTCTTAAAGGCAGATGGCTTCTTAGTTCACTGTAAATTCAGATTCTTACCATAATAAAATATTTATAAAGGGAAAACATGAATGTATCAATAAAGTAGAAAATCTGTAAGTGGATTAGAGTAAAATGAGTCATTATAAGTAATTATAAAACATAGCAAACAAATCGCACCTTTGTGAAAGTTGTTTTATAAGAAAAGATAGATCTGGATAATCTAGGTTCAGAATTTTAAACCACCCAAATGTATCTTCTGGGCTGTTTATTTGTCCTGGTCTCATAAGAAAACATTGACTTGATCACTCTTAGGAACTTTAGATTACTCTCCTAAAAATTAAGGAAAAAAAAGTTAAGGAAAAAAAAGAAGTTGAGACTGAATTCATGCTGATTTATGGAAATGAGCTTAGTGATTAAGCATTTAATGAAAAGAGACCCAGACTATCTACATTTTAGAATCTCAGAAAATTGGCAAGCAAGTTGGTGTCGAAATAATAGTGAGAAGGAGTGTTTGCAGAGTGTCTTTTGTGTGTCTCTTTTTGGGTTTATTGTTGCAGTAGAGGTTTTTGTATTTTTCTCATATTCTAGATCTCTTGCCTCACTCTTAAGTGAACCACGGTGAGAAGCAATTTTGCAAGGGCTCACCTTTCTTCACAGGCCAGCCATAGCCATATCTGATCAATAAAGATGACAGAGGGAGTATTGATCACATTTTCCTGAGCATGATCCCAGCAGGAACCCAGAAGTCAGAAACATGATGACTTTGCCATTGGTCACAATTGCCAAGAAGCAGAATATATAGGAACTTTTCTCTCAGATAACTCTGGCTTGTTGGCCTGGATCTTCCCGATGATCAAGGTTAGGGGCCTGGGAAAAGGTGAAGTTCTGTGCAGGCAGAGGCTAGGGATGGTAGGAGGAGGGAGGAACCTACATCCAGCCGGTGAGGGGCAGGCTCTGCCAGGACCGACTCAGTATTCCACAGCAGGGCTGAAAGCCCCTGCTCTCTTCCCTCTTTCCCTTGTACCCCTAGTTCTTGAGGATGAAACTGACACGTCAGTATATTTCATTATTAGAACACTGGAATGTCTCTGCAGCTTACAGCTTCCTAACTGCCACCGGCAGGCAGGCATACTTCTTCCTCCCTGGGGCTTCTCCCTTCAATCTAGCTGTGTAGGAGAGCAGCGGGTGTTCACCCCCAGCGGGAAGCTGCCTGGCCTATTAAGTACAATGCCATTAAATGAAACTGCCTTTTATTTTTGCTAAGTTTCTTTTCAGTACTGATGACTTTGAGATAGAGAAACCAAAAGCATTGTTTTCAGAAGGCCTTGCTCTCTTACAAAAAGATTTCAAGTGATGATTTTAATTAATCCAGCGGCCTGTTTTAAAAATCATCAGATAAATGCCCACGAGACTCTTATCTTTCAGTAGCTTAGCTGCTGCTTATCAGATTCTAAACTGATGGGCCCAAACTCTTCTAGTGCCCAAACTAATCCTTGTTTAAATGATGTCTTCGGAAGCTGTAACTCTTGTAGTGACTTGATAAATGATAGCCTTTGGGTCTGGGGTGAAGACTTCAGTAATGTTTAAGGGGATTCAGGAAAGAGCCCAATATACGACCAAATCCACCTCTACCAAGGGCTATTCAACCCATACCTGGGCACTTCCAGTGTTCTTGGGAAACCATCCAGGACTGTGGGCAATATTTATTTTTATTTTATGTTATTTTTAAATTTTTTTCAGTAGGCTCCACGCCCAGCAGGCAACCCAAAGTGGGGCTTGAACCCACGACCCTGCGATCAAAACCTGAGCTGAGCTCAAGAGTCCGATGCTTAACCGACTGAGCCACCCAGGTGCCCCTATGGGCAATATTTAAAGCTCATATTTGTTGCCAAGATATTTGTGGCTCAAGGTAAAGCATTATAATATCTTTTTTTTAAAAAAGATTTTATTTATTTATTTATTTGACAGAGAGAGACAGAGCGAGAGAGGGAACACAAGCAGGGGGAGTGGGAGAGGGAAAAGCAGGCTTCCCGCGGAGCAGGGACCCTGATGCGGGGCTCGATCCCAGGACCCTGGGATCATGACCTGAGCCGAAGGCGGACGCTTAACGACTGAGCCACCCAGGCACCCCTAGAC